CGAGCGGGTAAACTGAATTTAACGTTATGGTAACGTGAATCGATCGCAGAATACCTTCACCCCTCGCCATCACGATTTTCCGTGTCCGTGCATGCACGTAACGGCCATCGTAAAAACTCTGCGAAGAAGGCGCAAAGGTAATTGAACTATCGGCCCGTGTTCCCCCTCCCCCTACCATTTCCAGGCTAAATTACCCCGGAGAAACTTTGTCGACTTTCCATTCGTGATAACATCTCCAGCTTGCACGAGCAAATTCGAGTGGTTCACGCGGTCTCTCGCGAAATTTCCCGTGCGTGCACTTCTCAGTGGCGAGATCCATCGGATCGATCCGACCGGTCAGACTTCAAAGACGAGTACGGCAAAGAGAAAGGGGTGAGAACCGCATACACGACCGCACGTTAGGTTCACTCGGAAGAATCCTGGCGACGGACACGTGTTAATACGCTGTCGGTCGTTTGGAGGTGATCAATCAGCTCGAAGAGTCTCTGTACCGGGGAATCGAGTACGTCTATCAAAAGAAGCTGGTAGAAGATTAATGCCTTACCTACTTAAGGTTAACGAGCGGATGTGAACGTGTATATTCAATAGCGCCGATTAAGCTTGAATAGTAATTTGCTTATAATCGTGCATCTATAACGATATAAATAAAATTAATGCCAATAATATATTAAACTTGGAATTCTCGTCGATTCGTCGAATTTATTTTTCATCTATGCGGTATTCAAAGTAGCCAACTTTCACGTACGTCCCTTTGATCGAAGAAAGATCGAGAGATCGTTCGATGCATAGCTGATTCCGAGAAGCTGCGCGTATTTGCCAGAAATTTCGGACACGTACGTGACAGGAAAGATTACCAATCGGTGGAACGAACGAGTAGACTGACGACGAGGATTCTCTTAGGTCGTTTGCTAACGGGGATCGTTAGTTTGTAATCGACACTGGGGTCAGCGTTCGCGGCATAAATTTTTGTGCTGGCGGAAACCTTATCGAGCTGCGTGCAGCTTGGAACGTTCACGAAGGTGTGAAAAAGAAGGAAAAAGAGAATAAGAAGGAAAGTTGGTCTGTTTGTCTGGTCGATAGAGCTACTGGTATATTTATGTTCCACGAGAGCCCGAAGATTTACTAGAAAAATGATGAAAACTGACATCGATGGCCCTTGTAAAGATAACGTAGCACGTTGCTGGCGCGTTCGAAATGTTTTAGAATCCACAGGTCGATAAATTCAAGATCGACAACTTTGGAAACTAGTAGAAACTTTCTCGAGACCGAAATCATCGGTGGTTGAAGAAATTGGCAGCAGTTGATCGAAGGAGGACGTAAAGGAATTCTATCGAAAAGTAACGAAACGGAGAATCGTATTTATTAGTCGCTGCCTTAGAAAGAAACTTACGTGGTATCGGAATTAAAAGATACCGTGCATTCGCAGGCGTTCCACCAACGTGAAATTAATCGGATTACGAGCCGACGTAGTTAGTAAACGAGGAAAGAACGAATTACGACGATTGTTCAGCGGACAATTGGACTACTTGTTTCGGTGTAATTCGAAGAATCTCGACGTAAAGGGATAGTGAACGGGACGCGAGACGCGTTGAGAAAGTTACCACGGAGAAAAGAGAAGGATGCTCGTAATCCTTCGCTGGAAATCAGCACGGCCGAAAGCAATTCCAGAAGATAAACAAGTTCGCTGGGAAGTACCGGATGCAGCGATTGTCATTGAAGTTGATCAAACCTCGGAATAGTTTAATGGCCACGATATCAGTTAAACGGGCGAAACTCCTCTCAACATCTCGTTGGAAATACACTGCGGTTTAAACTTTTTAATAGAAGTAAACAATCTTTTGAGTAAAAACTAACTAAAATAAAAAGAAGAAAAATCATGCGATAAAATAGAAGCAAGATAAGAATATACAATTAACAATCGAAGCTATCAAATGGTTTTGAGGACACCGGAAATCGGCGTTAAAGAGGAAATCAAATCAAACGCTCGAAAGTATGTGAGAAATACCAAAGAAAATGACACGTGAAACGCGGTAATCCGAACTGGAATAGAAGCTGGCATGCAACAGTGTGCCTGAAGGAGTCTTCTCAAGTCTCTTCAGGGACGTTGAACAAATTACTCGGGCATACACTGGGAACGCTCGAGAGCAAGAGGAAAGCCATTATCAAACAATTGCTCTACAAAGGGGAACCTTCTCTATTTTCTTGTACAAAACCTTCCAGCGTAAACGTGACGTTCGTGTTACGATCGAAATCCGCGAGATCTTATATATACTGAAAGATCAAATAATCCTTTCAATCCCAATCTTTCGAACTTTAAACGACAAGAAGAAAAAGGTAGTGGATTAAAGCTAGGCCGGTTCACGCCAGTTTCGACGATTAACCGCAATTACAGCTACGTAGCTCGTGTTCTAGCGTTTTCAGACGGCCAGCGACGAGTGGAGGATTTCGTGAAACGAGTATATCTACCGGCACGACGTGTTTCATGGCCTGGAAGTAATCCGTGGGAGCTTTTCGAAGCTTCGAGCGCCAGCGGTATTGGTTCGTTAAAGAACCGAAAGAAGTTGGGGCGCAAAGGTAAACAGAGGGGAAAAGGGTAAAATCGAAGTTTCGTTGGAACGTTGGCGAGCAAGGGAAAAATCGTGTGTCACGGACGAGCTACTTTGTACTTTGTCGAGTGAACGGTGTGCAAGTGGAACCGGATGTAACGGGGGTGTCAGTCAACGGCAATGACGAGTATCGAATTCACGTTGTCAGGCTGTCGTGATAAAAACTTGGCAACGATAGTAAAAGTCTGTTGGAGATCGTCGCGTGGCTAAGTAGACTAGAGGCGCGGGCATGGTGCGGAAGTAGGTTTTCTTTCTTCCGGCTTCTGCTAGAGAAGCGCAGTACAAGTGGCTCCGAAGAGGACGATGATGTCTAGACAAAGCAAAGATCCCGTGCAGAAGTGCCACTCGGACCCAGGTGCTGCAAGTACCGGCAGTACTCCTTGCAGCCCTGGTAAGCGAATTTCTCGCAGAATAGTGCCAGGAATTCCAAGCTCTTCCAACACACGCAAATGTGTTCTCACCTTGGACGGGTATAGCTACGTGATCGGTAAGTACCGAACCACGATAAGACTCGACTTCTATCGTCCAGCCAGATAGAGCAAGGGCAGGTGGAGAATGAAAGAGGGAAAAGGCTTTGCTTATCTTTCGTTCTTGATGGCGTGGCGCGTACGAGGTATTATCGTCGTTATGTTATACGACCCCGATGGAACCAACTCTTCCATCTAGTCAGAATCTTCTTTTCTTTCCTTATTTTTTATAGGCGATATGATTACGGCAAGTCTTCTCGTATTTTTAGTGGTTCGATCGAACAAGCTACAAATCATCCAGGATTTTTTTTTTTTATTCGATAGCGTCTGGATGTTACGGCGAGTTTCCTCAGGGCGAAAGTCCGCGTAAACTTGGACGACAGTTGTGGGTCAACGAGAATGCCTGTTTTTCTTTATTGCTGTATTCCGTGCTATCACCGGCATTCCTCTGTCGCTGTACAGGCTCATTTGCAAAAATAATCAAAAGTTTATTACTCGGAAAGTACACGCAAGAGCGTCTCGTCCGAGAGTTTTGCTTGTACGAGTGTAATTATTCTCTGGTACCCAGCACGCTCGGTGACTGGTGCAACGTCAACTTCGTGATTTCAACGACCTCGTAAATCGTGTGTTCTTGCTTATACGTAATCGTGCCGCGTCTCGTCTTTTGCCCTAATTAAGCGAAATACCCGTACACACGCTCGAGGTTCAAAACGGGTAACCATGGTCGGAGGAAAAAAGGGAAAAATACCGGGTAAGCTTAATTAATTGAGAAACGCGCGAGTGGCTAAGCAGAGAAGCGCGAACACCTTTGAATTTCGCGAGCCGTGTTTGTACGTGGATTTCTCGTTGAATCGAGGTACGAATACGGCCGGTTTATTATTATCGGCAAAGAAACTCGTTGTTAATCGAACGTTATTATGTGCATTTCAATATTGTACATATTAAATAGAACTTCAGAGATTACGAAAATTCGCAGATTTCGTTCGATCCTGTTTTTATCGGATAAATTATTATTTACTCGGGTTTGTGTAATATTTAGCATTTCATTCTCATATTCTGTTAACTTTTATGCTCCAAATGATATTGCAAGATATGTTTAATTTTGCGGCTCAAAAGAGTGATATCTTTTGTGCGCGTTAATGAAGGTTGTCTATTTTCCGATAAATTTTTATGTCATTGTGGATCCCATCATGTCCTTTTATAGTTTACTATAACGAGTATGTTAGTATACAAGTAAGATAATCATGTCGTTTTATAGTTTACTTCTGATACACATTCATATCGTTCTTAATTTAAACATTTTTGTTTAAACACGAATACGTAATCTGTCGTAGTAATTAAACATTTATATTTATTTGACCAGTGTGTTCTGACCGGATTTCCACACATATTTCTTATTTATTATATATGCGCTACATTATACAGATACTTATAAAAATAACAAATAACGCGTCTATACCATTAGCTTCATAAATATTATATTTTATATTTCGTACAATAATAATGATCTAATAATCATAATTATCTTTACTTTTTTCAATTTCAACATCTGTCGAACGCAAACTCTTCGTGAACAATTCGCATCCGAGTTTGAAGATTATTCGGTGTTTCTCCTTAAGTTCGAGAATATTTTCAAACTTTGTGTTCCGCTATTCGTAAATGGAATACGGCTGTTTATAAACACAAATACTCATACACATGGCAAACAGCACGTTTCGGCTTTTTCCCTCTTGCCTTCCATTACGTGACATACGACTTATAAGATAAAACTGTAATGTCACGTCAAAAATAAAAATATTAGGTTGCTCGGAAAGTGGCGTCGCCACATTTTGCTTCTATATTTTCAAAACGAAGTTTCCACAAATCACACGCGGTTGAATCGTATATTTTCACATAAACAACATAAGCTACGAAAAAACGGTATTTCATTTTTGGGAGAAATTATTTCGTCTTGAAAATTTGATTAGCAAATTGTTCCCTTGCACGATACACTGCCGAGAATTATAAATATTATCGTACCGTGAAAAGCTGTATACCAAGTTCTTTCATAATATAGAATTGAAAAATACATTTCCTGACTGATAGATTGCTTCGATTTTTATAGAATTTTTTGTCAGGAGAAACGTTCAACACTTTCAATCAGGCAGTAAATACACTAGGAAAAAGAATATTTGAAAAAGAAAAATGAAAAATTCAGCAGCGATGGAACAAATGAACCGCCAAATAACTGGAACAACGAAGGCTCTAATCGTTGAATACAATAAATGTTACAATAACGAATATTACATGGAAGACTAATCAGTGGAAATTATTGTTGTTAAGTTGAGAGCCAGGTTTCCATCTCATCGTATACATTCCTACCGTCTACATGATCGCCAAAAAGTACGTACAATACATTTCTCGGCATTGATGAGATCGTACCGTCGCAGTTTAGATCGCCGATCGAATTCAGCCGAATACAGCGATACCCATTGTAACCGAATGACCCATTCTTCCTCGGTGTCAAAAGTTATCGAAGGCGAGTAGAAGGCAACCTCGTTTGTCGAGCTCTTAATTCACTTGGAGTTCATTTACATTGAACTTTGTGTTCGAAGCAAATCTATTTACGACACGGAGCAATGTTGCTGCGATGGTAACAACGTCCTCTCGACTACGACGACCACGACCACGACGATGAACTGCACGTGCTCTTCGTTATAAAACAAGCAAGCAAAGTGGAGACGGGAAACTCGAGACAGAGAAGCAAGAAAGAATAGAAAAAAAATGCGAAAGAAAGGGGAGGAAGGGACATTTACATCGCGTGCTACGTAGCGCGCGAGAAATTACGGGGAAATATTTTTAACGAAAGAACTTGCAACGCGGCGCACGAAATTACAAAATGCCTGAAAGCAAGTGATTTTATCATTTTTACTGGCTTCAGGTTCTCCCTCTAACACCGTTCTTGTACTTTCTTTTCATCCGTCAACCGTTTGAAATTAACCCACGTTTACACGCCGCATTCACCTCCCTCCGAGAAGAATCACAATCGTGAAGCCCGGTTCGCTTCTCTAATTGTTCAATTTTTTACCTGGTCTACCAAGTACAGAAGTTAGGAACTTTTCTGCTTTACGATTGTTCCGATCGTGAATTATGAATTTATTTCTTCTCACCGAATACCGTACTGTAACTGTAAATATTACGTGGAATAATTTATGTTCAGGTTATAACATTCGACGATGTATTTATCGTTCGCTTTTATCCGCATTTGTATCGATATAATAACAAGAGTTATAACAAAAGAAGTAAAATAAGTACTGTATAACGTAAGAAACATATTGCGATTTACGTGTTTTGTCTGTCGTCCGTCTTAATATTTGTATCGTAAACGTCTATTTACGATTGCTGGGATTTAGTATTGTTCCACTCATCTAATTTCACGTATATATTCTAGGAACGTGTTTATGCACAAATTAATCTAATATTGTGTTTTTAATTATTTCATGTGAGCGAAATTTGGTATTTGTCCTATCATGATAAATAATAGGATGAATTTCTAATAAAAATGGATATGATTATGCGATTTGTTCTAAACGACTAACAAGGTAATTTACTAAGACATTAGGAAGAATAATACAAGTATAAAACATGGGTAGAAAATTATCAATAACATCGTTAATCATTTATATGAATCCATTTGTCTCATCAACTTAATTTTCTAAACCAACTTTGGAAAAATGAATACTTCTAATAATCAATTAACGTATTAGTTAACAATTAACGCCTAATAATCAATTAGATGTAATAAACGTATTACATCTAATTTGTAAATTCCATATTGTTAATTTTTATTTCGTAGGATCGATCCAGATATTTTCAGAAATATTGTGTCACATAAAATCCATACATCTACCATTAATCGTTTGTTCTTTACGTAACAATGGGAAATTGCGTTCAGTCCTGTGACATTGCTACTTTCGAGACTAGAGTGTTTCCGATAATCTTAGTTCCAGCGGCCGTGATAATGTCAGTACGTCCGAGATTTTTCTCAATACCATTTCTCTTTTGTTTTAGTGAAAAATCTCCCTAGAATCCCCATGGATTTGGAGAATGTCATTGGACGTTTAAAAACTAGCACAGACTGCAAAATCGAGTATCCTTTGCCATTTATTTCCTGTTTTGCTCGTTTTTCTCGATTTTCTCGATTTTCGCAACGACCTTTGTTCCTTTCTTCGCTTCTTCTTCCCCGGAGAGACTTTTCTACCAGCGGAAATCCAAGTATAGAGTACTCTTCTCCTGGTCGAGAAAACAACACGCGAATTCACCATATATCCGAATCCACCCTATTGCATCCAATCGTTGACATAAATACAAGTACTTTTCCGCGATGAAAGTTTCGATGGAATAATTAATTGAATTATATAAATTATTATATTCGATATTCTTAGTATTCGATACAATATGCGACGTTATCTAAACATTAATTTTGAAAAGAAGATATTTCAAAGTGCCTTATGACATTACCTTTAAATTTTTCATTCTTTTGCACAATTAGAAATTCAAAGGAATTATGAAAAATCCAAATAGCGCAGCATTCTTAAGAGTTAACGCATCTACGATTCGTTACAGTCCGTTTATCCTCGAATAAGTGACAGCATCCGTCATTAGTCGAATGATTACGTTATTACGAATCGTTTCACGAGTCGTTCTCGAGGTATTCCTTTCTCGCAGTCGAGTTTGTTCGCGAATGGATTTTTGCAAGTTGAGTCGCTGCAGCTTTTCTTCGAAAAAGCGAGCTTCGTCGTGCATTCTAGCTTCTGGTAATATTATCTCTTCTTTTGCACCGATACTATGTCGTGATATTGCACGTGAAAAGTTCGGTTAGCGTACTCTTACGAAAAGATCTAGAGTCGTGCGACACGGCGAGACAGCCCTGACATATGAATATAATTTCTCTGAGCATGGACGTGGTAGAGAAAAATATTCTTGTATCTTTGATGGATAACGAAAATTCATGTTACGCTAGGATTTATGTAGTTTCCTT